TGACGTGTTTGAAATATTATTCTGTTAAACTCAATTTGATTATACCGTGAAATCGTGTAGGTGTCAACCTATTCACACTCAACAGTATAATTCTAAAAAAAATATTATAAATGGAAAGTAATAAATAAAATACTAAACTCGCTCCCGTGTAAAACCTATTATGAAACTCGTGAACTATTCACTCGTTTCCTAATATTGGTATTAGACGAGAGCTCGTTTAGTATTCTATATCTCCGCTACATCTAGTGTATAATCTCGCGTTTTCCATGTATCTATTATTCAAGACTGGCTTCGACGGGAGCTCGTTTAGTATTCTATATCTCCGCTACATCTAGTGTATAATCTCGCGTTTTCCATGTATCTATCATTCAAGACTGGCTTCGACGGGAGCTCGTTTAGTATTCTATATCTCCGCTACATCTAGTGTATAATCTCGCGTTTCCATGTATCTATCATTCAAGACTGGCTTCGACGGGAGCTCGTTTTGTATTCTATATCTCCGCTACATCTAGTGTATAATCTCGCGTTTTCCATGTATCATTCAAGACTGTCTTCGACGGGAGATCTATGCAGACCAGTTTGACGTTTCTGGTTACCATGACATCACATTAGAATTACATCACTAACCTCTTTGAAGACGGAAGCTGGTCAGCTGCACTTATTAGACTCAACAAACTAAAAAAAGGTTTGAAGAATGATTTTGGAGGATAAAAAAATAGTTCCAAGGTATCTCCAAGTTTTAAACTTATTTAAGATTGACACTTTTCATATCAAAGGTTACACAGGTGAAATTTCATCTATATCACAGATTACGATTATTTACTGTTTACTGTTATAGCGGGAATATCGCTGACTGAGTCATTAAAAACATTCACTCACTCACTCACTCTAACCAATAACAATAGCCATTTTTTAATGATAATGACTAGATCGGAAACATGAATACATAACACTTTTTTATTGATAACAACTTCTTTTTTCTTTGAAACGATGTTTCAGAGCGACTTCTTGTCCCTTCACCAGATGAATACAAAGTAAAGCCATAGAGTTAATGTTATATACATGAAGTATTATATCAATAAAAGTGTCATGTATTTATGTTCTTCAAACTTCTAAATGACTATCAAATACAAAGATCAGAAACATTTCGATATATTAAATTTATTTAAAAAAAATACCAATGTAGCTAAAACAACTGAAACAACTCAGAAAAAGCAATCAAACAAAACAAAAATGCAATAACGAAATAAAATACATTACAAGAGGTTGAGAAAATATATTGATAGGAATATCCTATCGGAACATATACAGTCAAACACTGTTGTGTCGAACTTAGATGTGTCGAACGTTTGTCTCGAAGTATAAGCTTGGTCCCTGCGTAGTGGTCCTTTATTCATTATTTTCGGTTGTGCCGAACCTCGGATAACTCGACGTGGGTCCCTTCAACTTCGACACAACGGTGTTTGAATACAATAACGCATTGAATTGGCGGCGTCCACTAATGCCTACATCCACTAATGCTTACATCCACTAATGCCTACAGTCTACAAAAAACAAAGTCATGCACCAGTGATTTTCAGCGACACCTGCTGTCAGTGCTACCCAACCTCTAACTGGACAAGTCCACTTTAGTGGAATAATGCCTATAGGCGACAAAAGACAGAAAATTGTATAAAGTCACTTTTTATTTCACATTGCCATAACACTAACAGTAATAATTTATGATTTCTGCATCATTGCATTAGTTCTTATAGTATACACCAGCAGATATTTGCTGATTTTAAAGAAATCTAATATTGGAAGAGTTCATTCATAGCATGGGTTTGTTGTTTTCATTGTGTGGGCTTTATTCCACACTGTTTTATTTTTTTGTAGGCAATAGTAACTGTGGGCAAAAGTGGACGTAGGCATTAGTGGCTGGAACCCTCTGTATTTGGAATTATAATTAGCAAAGAAAAAAGCTAATTAGATAACAAGCAACAACTAAATAACAAATTTACAAACTGAATTGATAAAGCTTAACTGTAAGTGAGAAGAGTTTTTTTATATATACGTTAGCACCGTTAGGAACTCCGGATATGTACGTCAGTGGCAATAACTGATTAACGCACATACCTATTCAAAATCTCTGTACAAAATAGAAGAAATTATTTACTTAAACCATCACAATGCATTACAATGCATAACAATGCATCAACAAATATCAATCAACATCCTGATTGACCAAGCGACAGTGTGTCGCCAGATGTGGCGTTATCCTCTTTGTAATATATTTTCTGTACATAAATGTGAAGTTCAAACATATAAAAAAAGAAGAAAATTAGAACTATATACAATACAATACAATATATTTGATGCAGACACAGATGTGTGTGTGTGTGTGTGTGTGTGTGTGTGTGTGTGTGTGTGTGTGTGTGTGTGTGTGTGTGAGGGAGTGTGTGTGTGTGGTAACCTCCCAAAACCCCTACATCCCATTTCCCCTAGACACTTCTCCAATATATTTGATGCAGACACAGGTGTGTGTGTGTGTGTGTGTGTGTGTGTGTGTGTGTGTGTGTGTGTGTGTGTGTGTGTGTGTGTGTGTGTGTGTGTGTGTGTGTGTGTGTGTGAGAGAGGGAGTGAGTGTGTACCACCCATCCGGTGTAAGGACTAGACACTTCTCCAATATATTTGATGCAGACACAGATGTGTGTGTGTGTGTGTGTGTGTTTGTGTCTGAGCGAGTGTGTCTGTGCCACCTATCCCGTGTATTGACTAGACACTTCTCCAATATAATTGATGCAGACACAGATGTGTGTGTGTGTGTGTGTGAGCGAGTGTGTCTGTGCCACCTATGCCGTGTATTGACTAGACACTTCTGACCAGACATGCACTGGCAGTGACGTTAAATTGCATGGAGCCTGTCGGGAATTGACACTGGGACAGTTGGCTAACTATCGCCTCCAAGATGCCCTCTGGACTATTTTCCTCTCAGAGTGAGTGAGTGAGTGAGTGAGTGAGTGAGTTACAATGCATAACAATGCATCAACAAATATCAATCAACATCCTGATTGACCAAGCGACAGTGTGTCGCCAGATGTGGCGTTATCCTCTTTGTAATATATTTTCTGTACATAAATGTGAAGTTCAAACATATAAAAAAAAAAAAAATTAGAACTATATACAATACAATACAATATATTTGATGCAGACACAGATGTGTGTGTGTGTGTGTGTGTGTGTGTGTGTGTGTGTGTGTGTGTGAGGGAGTGTGTGTGTGTGTGTGTGTGTGTGTGTGTGGTAACCTCCCAAAACCCCTACATCCCATTTCCCCTAGACACTTCTCCAATATATTTGATGCAGACACAGGTGTGTGTGTGTGTGTGTGTGTGTGTGTGTGTGTGTGTGTGTGTGTGTGTGTGTGTGTGTGTGTGTGTGTGTGTGTGTGTGTGTGTGTGTGTGTGTGTGTGTGTGTGAGGGAGTGTGTGTGTGGTAACCTCCCAAAACCCCTACATCCCATTTCCCCTAGACACTTCTCCAATATAATTGATGCAGACACAGGTGTGTGTGTGTGTGTGTGTGTGTGTGTGTGTGTGTGTGTGTGTGTGTGTGTGTGTGTGTGTGTGTGTGTGTGTGTGTGTGTGTTTGTGTGTGAGCGAGTGTGTCTGTGCCACCTATCCCGTGTATTGACTAGACACTTCTCCAATATAATTGATGCAGACACAGATGTGTGTGTGTGTGTGTGTGAGCGAGTGTGTCTGTGCCACCTGTCCCGTGTATTGACTAGACACTTCTGACCAGACATGCACTGGCAGTGAAGTTAGATTGCATTGAGCCTGTCGGGAATTTACTCTGGGACAGTTGGCTTACTATCGCCTCCAAGATGCTCTCTGGACCATTTTCCTCTCAGAGTGTGTGAGAGTGAGAGTGAGAGTGTGTGAGTGAGTGAGTGAGTGAGTGAGTGAGTGAGTGAGTGAGTGAGTGAGTGAGTAAATAACAACTATACAAATTGAATTGATAAAGCTTAATTGTAAGTGAGAAGAGTTTTTTATATATAAGTTAGCACCGTGAAGAGTCGAACTCCGGATATATACGTAAGTGGCAATAACTGATTAACGCACACACCTATTCAAAATATCTGTACAAAATAGAAGAAATTATTTACTTAAACCATCACAATGCATTACAATGCATTACAATGCATCAACAAATATCAATCAACATACTGATTGACCAGGCGACAGTGTGTCGACAGATTAGGCGTTATCTTCCTTGTAATATATTTTCTGTACATAAATGTGAAGTTCAAACATATAAAAAATGAAAATTAGAACTATATACAAATCTCCGGAAATACAACACCACATGTTATTGGCAGTACAATACTTGCACATGGATGATTCATTGTCGCCAGAATGTTGGGACGTGGTTAACTTCACTCTGGCAATAGGCTAATTTTAGCTGTCCCACACGAACGTGGGAACTGTTATTGAGAGGAGGAAGTGACACTATATATGTACGGTACCACCCATCCAGTGTAATGACTAGACACTTCTCCAATATATTAGATGATGTGTGTGTGTGTGTGTGTGTGTGTGTGTGTGTGTGTGTGTGTGTGTGTGTGTGTGTGTGTGTGTGTGTGTGTGTGTGTGTGTGTGTGTGTGTGTGTGTGTGTGTGTGTGTGTGTGTGTGTGTGTGTGTGTGAGGGAGTGTGTGTGAGTGAGTGTGTACCACCCATCCAGTGTAAGGACTAGACACTTCTCCAATATATTTCATGCAGACACAGATGTGTGAGTGAGTGGTGAGTGTGTGAGTGAGTGTGTGAGTGAGTGAGTGAGTGAGCGAGGTAGCGAGGTAGCGAGTGGAGTGGTGTGGAGTGGAGTGGAGTGGAGTGGAGTGGAGTGGAGTGGAGTGGAGTGGAGTGGAGTGGAGTGGAGTTGAATTGAGTTGAGTTGAGTTGAGTTGAGTTGAGTTGAGTTGAGTTGAGTTGAGTTGAGTTGAGTTGAGTGGAGTGAGTGAGTGAGTGAGTGAGGTAGCGAGTGAGGTAGCGAGTGAGGTAGCGAGCGAGGTAGCGAGGTAGCGAGTGGAGTGGATTGGAGCAGAGTGAGTGAGTGAGTGAGTGAGTGAGTGAGTGAGTGGGTGGGTGAGTGAGTGATAGAGTGAGTGGGTAAGTGAGTGAGTGAGTGAGTGAGTGAGAGGAATACACTCTGGGACTAACTATCTGGGTAACTATCGCCTCCAGGATGCCCTCTGGACTATTTTCATCTATAAATTAAGGAGCTGTGGACCCATATATGTTGACCAAGATCACGTGTTATATAAGTCTTAAGCCGACTTTGTGTTACTTTTGACTCCATCGCCGCTGAAGTCGTCAAGAACGTTGTCTGTCATGACTGGAAGAGAAGAAAACAAGTTCACAGACAAGCGTATGTAACCTGCGATACATCGCATCAGTTGCCTTGGATAATATTCCTTTAATATATCTGTAACAAATATTGGTGTAAAATACTGCACGAAGTGGTGCAGACAGGTCTAGTCTTTACTGTGTCAACCAATCCAATTTATTCAATGGAAATGTTCTTCCAATATTGAATTATTGAGGTCAATAGCCAGTAACCAGGAACACCATTGAAATATCACTTCGAAAATATATTTTTTGACACTAAAATGGTTTGTGTAGGACAGTTAACTGTAAGTATTAACTGTAAGTGAGAAGAGGTTTTTTTATATATAAGTTAGCACCGTGAAGAATCGAACTCCGGATATATACGTGAGTGGCAATAACTGATTAACGCACACACCTATTGGTGCAGACAGGTCTAGTCTTTACTGTGTCAACCAATCCAATTTTATTCAATGGAAATGTTCTTCCAATATTGAATTATTGAGGTCAATAGCCAGTAACCAGGAACACCATTGAAATATCACTAAATATATTTTTTGACACTAAAATGGTTTGTGTAGGACAGTTAACTGTAAGTATTAACTGTTTGAAAAAGTCCGAAATAGAAAAGAAACGTGTGTGTGTGTGAGTACCACCCATCCCGTGTAATGACTAGACACGTCTCCAATATATTTCATGCAGACACAGATGCTTGTGTGTGTGTGTGTGTGTGTGTGTGTGTGTGTGTGTGTGTGTGTGTGTGTGTGTGTGTGTGTGTGTGTGTGTGTGTGTGTGTGTGTGTGTGTGTGTGTGTGTGTGTGTGTGTGTGTGTGTGTGTGTGTCTTTTTTAGTGTGACGTGGCCACGTGGTCTTAATATTATGACTGTTACTGTGATTACCGACTGCCAAAGGAACACGGCTAGACACAAGGCACCGGGACTTATTGTAAGAGTGAGTGAGTGAGTGAGTGAGTGAGTGAGTGTGTGATTGTTTGAGTGAGTGAGTGAGTGAGTGAGTGAGTGAGTGAGTGAGTGAGTGAGCGAGCGAAATAGTCCGAAATAGAAACGAAATCTTCAGAGTACGTGGTGTGATATGGGAGAGCCTGGAACTGGATATAAGGATGTCCTGCAACTGGATGTAAGTACTTGACTTACCACTGTTACCGAAGCCGCTGTCAATCGGGCTTGACTCATACAGAAAGTTATCCTTCGTTTCTGAAAAAATCAAACATGAACGGGTTCATAACAGACCATACGTGAACGTATAACGCGATAACGCGATAACGCGAAATGATAAGTAATAGTGTTTGCATAGCTTCGTACTGAATATCAGATCTCAAAGTCATGTAACATATCGTTCTCCATAATATGAGTCAATGTCGTCATGGTGCTAACTTGCTACTTCTTTGGATGACTTTCATCCTGCAAAATGTATCCGTGTGTTGTCTGGGGCGGATGTCCGAGTGTACACCAGCACCACGATGATGTCCCATACAGCCACAGTATACTGACTCCGAGCCGACCAGTCCTTGTTTTAGCCCCTTAATGCCGAGCGCCAGACAGGGTAACAGCTAGTACCATCTTTTAACGTCTTTTGGTATGACGCGGCCGGGGATCGAACCCCGGACCTTCCGCTTTCCGGGCGGACGCTCTACCACTAGACCACGGAGGCGGTCTGGTCGAAAGCATCGTAATGAATATGGTGGTCAGGGTTGCTGACATGGTCGTTGGCGTGTGAGCCAACGTTTGTTTGTTTGTTGTTTAGCGCCGCACTCAGCAATATTCAAACTATATGGCGGCGGTCTGTAAATAATCGAGGCTGGACCAGACAATCGAGTGATTGACATTATGAGCATCGATCTACGCAATTGGGATCGATGATATGCATCAACCAAGTCAGCGAGCCTGACCACCGGATCCCGTTAGTCGTCTCTTACGACAAGCATGGTCGCCTTTTACGGCAAGCATGGGTTGCTGAAGACCTATTCTACCCCGGATCTTCACGGATCCTGACAAGCTAAGCGGCGGTTGGGTAGCCTTATGATTAAAACGTTCGCTCGTCACGCTGAAGAACGGGTTCGACGATTCCACACATGGGCACAATGTGTGAAGCCCATTTCTGGTACCCTACCTACCAGTCCCCCCCCCCCCCCACACACACACACACACACACCCCGAGTGCTCGAATATTGTTAAAAGCGGCGTGAAACCATTCTCACTCACTTACTCTGACAAGCTGATCAATTTTAGTCGTTGACAACAAGTGTTCCAACACTACTGCCATTAACCTGGGTTAGCAACAAAGAGTTTCCTTGCAATACTTGACTCACCTTTGTCATCCTCTCCATGATTGATGTCAGGCGGGCTGGACTCGTACAGCGTGTTCTCCTTCATCACTGAAACATCAGATCATGTCATTAGACTGTCTCTGTGGTCTGGTGATAGAGTGTCTGAGCGGATAGACGGTGAGGGGTTTGTTTCCCTGGCTGCGTTATACCAAATGACGTTTACAGATGTTATTATAAGGGTAACACTATTTTTCAGGGCATTATCATTTGCAGGAGCCTGAGGTCTTCCATTTACTGCCCGACGACGGAGACCGTGGGCTTCTGCAAATGATAATGCCCTGAAAAATAGTGTTAACGTTATTATAGCTAAAATGGGTGGAATTTGTTATCAAATAAAAAGAAACAACAATGTCGGTTTTGAAACATTTACTGCAATCAACACGAATGTCACTGACCCACTTTTACAAATATGGAAACGTCATAGAACTAATCAGATGACGTCACTATTGAACATGCCGTCACCTATCCTTATCCTATGACGTCACCTAACAACGGGCGTGATGTTGGCAGTTACAGTGGCCCGCTGATTTCTAATAACATGCGGGCGGTTAATGACAATTCTATCCATTTTAGCTATAAATGTTGTTACCCTACCTAGCGCTCGGCATAAAGGGAATATAACAAGTTCAATGTACTTTGATATGTCGAGAATCAGCGACCTTTCGATATTTGACAGGTGCTCTAACTACTACACCACGAAGAGGTTTGGTGAAAGGTTGAGACAGTATGATGCAGCGTAATCATATGTTCTTTAAAACTTAAGAAACACTTGACAATCACCGGACAAACACCGGAGAAACACCGGACAAACAGCTGACAAACACTGTCAAACACCTGACAAACACCTGACAAACAGCTGACAAACACCGGACAAACACTGTCAAACACCTGACCAACAGCTGACAAACACTGTCAAACACCTGACAAACACCTGACAAACACCTGACAAACACCGGACAAACACTGTCAAACACCTGACCAACAGCTGACAAACACTGTCAAACACCTGACAAACACTGACAAACACCAGACAAACATCGGACAAACACCGGACAAACACCTGATCAACAGCTGACAAACAGCTGACAAACAGCTGACAAACACCTGACAAACACCGGACAAACACCTGACAAACACCAGACAAACATCGGACAAACACCGGACAAACAGCTGACAAACACCTGACAAACAGCTGACAAACACCTGATAAACACCTGATAAACACCGGACTAACACCTGACAAACACCGGACAAACAGCTGACAAACACCAGACAAACATCGGACAAACACCGGACAAACACCTGACAAACACCTGACAAACACCTGACAAACAGCTGACAAACACCAGACAAACATCGGACAAACACCGGACTAACACCTGACAAACCGCTGACAAACAGCTGACAAACCGCTGACAAACAGCTGTCAAACAATTACAAACACCGGACAAACACAGGACAAACACCTGACCAACAGGTGACAAACCGCTGACAAACAGCTGACAAACCGCTGACAAACAGCTGTCAAACAATTACAAACACCGGATAAACACCTGACAAACACTGAACAGACACCGGAGAAACACAGGACAAACACCGGACAAACACCAGACAAACACCGGACAAACACCAGACAAACACTGACAAACACAGGACAAACACTGAGAAACACTGACAAACACCAGACAAACACTGACAAACACCGGACAAACACCTGAGAAAAACCGGACAAATACCGGACAAACACTGACAAACACCAGACAAACACCGGACAAACACCAGACAAACACTGACAAACACAGGACTAACACCTGACAAACCGCTGACAAACAGCTGACAAACCGCTGACAAACAGCTGTCAAACAATTACAAACACCGGACAAACATCGGACAAACACCGGACTAACACCTGACAAACCGCTGACAAACAGCTGACAAACCGCTGACAAACAGCTGTCAAACAATTACAAACACCGGATAAACACCTGACAAACACTGAACAGACACCGGAGAAACACAGGACAAACACCGGACAAACACCAGACAAACACCGGACAAACACCAGACAAACACTGACAAACACAGGACAAACACTGAGAAACACTGACAAACACCAGACAAACACTGACAAACACCGGACAAACACCTGAGAAACACCGGACAAATACCGGACGAACACTTACAAACAGCTGACAAACACTGGGAAACATCGGACAAACACTGACAAACACTGACAAACACCGGACGAACAACGGACAAACAACGGACAAACACTGACAAAAACTGACAAACACCGGACAAACACTGAGAAACACCGGAGAAACACCAGATAAACACCGGAAAGACACCGGAGAAGCACCGGAGTGACACCTGACAAACACTGACAACACCAGACAAACACCGGACAAACACCGGACAAACACCAGAGAAACACCTGACAAACACCGGACAAACACCGGAGAAACACTGTCAAACACCTGACAAACACCGGACAAACACCAGACAAACACCAGACAAACACCGGACAAACACTGACAAACACTGACAAACACCAGACAAACACCAGAGAAACACCGGACAAACACCGGACAAACAGCTGACAAACACCGGACAAACACCGGACAAACACTTGACAAACACCGGACAAACACCAGACAAACACCGGACAAACACTGACAAACACTGACAAACACCAGACAAACACCAGAGAAACACCGGACAAACACCGGACAAACAGCTGACAAACAGCTGATAAACACTTGACAAACACCGGACAAACACCTGACAAACACTGACAAACACCTGATCAACAGCTGACAAACAGCCGACAAACACCTGACTAACACCTGACAAACACTTACAAACACCGGACAAACAGCTGACAAACAGCTGACAAACACCTGACAAACACTTACAAACACCGGACAAACACCTGACCAACAGCTGACAAACAGCTGACAAACACCGGACAAACACCGGACAAACACCTGACCAACAGCTGACAAACAGCTGACAAACATCAGACAAACATCGGAAAAACACCGGACAAACACCGGAAAACACCTGACAAACACTTACAAACAGCTGAGAAACACCGGACAAACACCTGACCAACAGCTGACAAACAGCTGAGAAACACCGGACAAACGGCTTACAAAAAGCTGACAAACACCGACAAATAGCTGACAAACAGCTGACAAACAGCTGACAAACACCGAACAAACACTGACAAACACCGGACAAACAGGATCTACCCCCGATCCTGACAAGCTGAGGGGCGGTGTTGTAGCCTAATGGTTAAAACGTTCGCTCGTCACGCTGAAGAACGGGTTCGATGATTCCACACATGGGCACAATGTGTGAAGCCCATTTCTGGTACCCTACCTACCAGTCCCCCCACCCCCGCCGTGATATTGCTCAAATATTGTTAAAAGCGGCGTGAAACCATTCTCACTCACTTACTCTGACAAGCTGATCAATTTAGTCGTTGACAATAAGTGTTCCAACACTACTGCCATTAACCTGGGTTAGCAACAAAGAGTTTCCTTGCAATACTTGACTCACCTTTGTCATCCTCTCCATGATTGATGTCAGGCGGGCTGGACTCGTACAGCGTGTTCTCCTTCATCACTGAAACATCAGATCATGTCATTAGACTGTCTCTGTGGTCTGGTGATAGAGTGTCTGAGCGGATAGACGGTGAGGGGTTCGTTTCCCTGGCTGCGTTATACCAAATGACGTTTACAGATGTTATTATAAGGGTAACACTATTTTTCAGGGCATTATCATTTACAGGAGCCTGAGGTCTTCCATTTACTGCCCGACGACGGAGACCGTGGGCTTCTGCAAATGATAATGCCCTGAAAAATAGTGTTAACGTTATTATAGCTAAAATGGGTGGAATTTGTTATCAAATAAAAAGAAACAACAATGTCGGTTTTGAAACATTTACTGCAATCAACACGAATGTCACTGACCCACTTTTACAAATATGGAAACGTCATAGAACAAACCAGATGACGTCACTATTGAACATGCCGTCACCTATCCTTATCCTATGACGTCACCTAACAACGGGCGTGATGTTGGCAGTTACAGTGGCCCGCTGATTTCTAATAACATGCGGGCGGTTAATGACAATTCTATCCATTTTAGCTATAAATGTTGTTACCCTACCTAGCGCTCGGCATAAAGGGAATATAACAAGTTCAACGTACTTTGATATGTCGAGAATCAGCGACCTTTCGATATTTGACAGGTGCTCTAACTACTACACCACGAAGAGGTTTGGTGAAAGGTTGAGACAGTATGATGCAGCGTAATCATATGTTCTTTAAAAATTAAGAAACACTTGACAATCACCGGACAAACACCTGACAAACACCGGACAAACACCGGACAAACACTGACAAACACCTGATCAACAGCTGACAAACACCGGACAAACAGCTGACAAACACCTGAAAAACACCAGACAAACATCGGACAAACACCGGACAAACACCTGACAAACACCTGATAAACACCGGACTAACACCTGACAAACAGCTGACAAACACTGTCAAACACTTACAAACACTGGACAAACACAGGACAAACACCTGACAAATAGCTGACAAACACCGGACAAACACCTGACAAACAGCTGACAAACACCGGACAAACAGCTGAGAAACACTGTCAAACACCGGACAAACACCTGACAAACACCTGACAAACACCGGACAAACACCGGACAAACAGCTGACAAACACTGTCAAACACCGGACAAACACCTGACAAACACCTGACAAACACCGGACAAACACCTGACAAACAGCTGACAAACACCGGACAAACAGCTGACAAACACTGTCAAACACCGGACAAACACCTGACAAACACCGGACAAACACCTGACAAACAGCTGACAAACACCTGACAAACAGCTGACAAACACCGGACAAACAGCTGACAAACAGCTGACAAACACCGGACAAACAGCTGACAAACAGCTGACAAACACCTGACAAACACCGGACAAACAGCTGACAAACACCGGACAAACACCGGACAAACACCGGACAAACACCTGACAAACAGCTGACAAACACCGGACAAACAGCTGACAAACACTGTCAAACACCTGACAAACACCGGACAAACAGCTGACAAACACTGTCAAACACCTGACAAACACCGGACAAACACCTGACAAACACCGGACAAACACCGGACAAACACCTGACAAACACCGGACAAACACCTGACAAACAGCTGACAAACACCTGACAAACACCTGACAAACAGCTGACAAACAGCTGACAAACCGCTGACAAACACCGGAGAAACACCGGACAAACACCTGACAAACAGCTGACAAACACCGGACAAACAGCTGACAAACACTGTCAAACACCTGACAAACACCGGACAAACACCGGACAAACACCGGACAAACAGCTGACAAACAGCTGACAAACACCGGACAAACACCGGACAAACATCTGACAAACACCGGACAAACACCGGACAAACACCTGACAAACACCGGACAAACACCGGACAAACAGCTGACAAACACTGTCAAACACCTGACAAACACCGGACACACACCGGACAAACAGCTGACAAACAGCTGAGAAACACCGGACAAACAGCTGACAAACACCGGACAAACAGCGGACAAACAGCTGACAAACACCGGACAAACAGCTGACAAACACTGTCAAACACCGGACAAACACCGGACAAACACCGGACAAACAGCTGACAAACACCGGACAAACAGCTGACAAACACCGGACAAACACCGGAGAAACACCGGAGAAACAGCTGACAAACAGCTGACAAACACCTGACTAACACCTGACAAACACCGGACAAACACCGGACAAACACCTGACAAACACCGGACAAACACCTGACAAACACCTGACAAACAGCTGACAAACACCTGACAAACACCTGACAAACAGCTGACAAACAGCTGACAAACCGCTGACAAACACCGGAGAAACACCGGACAAACACCTGACAAACAGCTGACAAACACCGGACAAACAGCTGACAAACACTGTCAAACACCTGACAAACACCGGACAAACACCGGACAAACACCGGACAAACACCTGACAAACAGCTGACAAACAGCTGACAAACACCGGACAAACATCTGACAAACACCGGACAAACACCGGACAAACACCTGACAAACACCGGACAAACACCGGACAAACAGCTGACAAACACTGTCAAACACCTGACAAACACCGGACACACACCGGACAAACAGCTGACAAACAGCTGAGAAACACCGGACAAACAGCTGACAAACACCGGACAAACAGCGGACAAACAGCTGACAAACACCGGACAAACACCGGACAAACAGCTGACAAACAGCTGACAAACAGCTGACAAACACTGTCAAACACTGACAAACACCGGATCAACAGGTGACAAACACTGACAAACACCGGGCAAACACCTGACAAACAGCTGACAAACACCTGACAAACAGCTGACAAATACCGGACAAACAGCTGACAAACAGCTGACAAACACCGGACAAACAGCTGACAAACACTGACAAACAGCTGACAAACAGCTGACAAACAGCTGACAAACACCGGACAAACACCGGACAAACACCGGACAAACACCTGACAAACAGCTGACAAACACCTGACAAACAGCTGACAAACACCGGACAAACAGCTGACAAACACCTGACAAACAGCGGACAAACAGCTGACAAACACCGGACAAACAGCTGACAAACACTGTCAAACACCGGACAAACACCGGACAAACACCGGACAAACAGCTGACAAACACCGGACAAACACCTGACAAACACCGGACAAACACCTGACAAACACCGGACAAACAGCTGACAAACAGCTGACAAACACTGTCAAACACTTACAAACACTGGACAAACACAGGACAAACACCGGACAAACAGCTGACAAACACAGGACAAACACCTGACAAACACCGGACAAACACCGGACAAACACTGACAAACACTAGAGAAACATCGGACAAACACCGGACAAACAGCTGACAAACACCTGATAAACATCTGATAAACACCTGACTAACACCTGACAAACAGCTGACAAACAGCTGACAAACACTGTCAAACACCTGACAAACACCGGACAAACACCGGACAAACAGCTGACAAACAGCTGACAAACAGCTGACAAACACTGTCAAACACTGACAAACACCGGATCAACAGGTGACAAACACTGACAAACACCGGACAAACAGCTGAGTAACACTGACAAACACCGGACCAACAGCTGAGAAATACCGGACAAACACTGACAAACACCAGACAAACACCGGACAAACACCGGACAAACACTGACAAACACCGGAGAAATGCTGATAAACACCCGAAAAACACCGGACCAACAGCTGACAAACACCGGACAAACACCAAACAATCATTTGACAAACATTAGACATCAGACAAACATGAGACACATGCCACACAATCATCTGACATTCATCTGACAAACACACACGGTCATTCCAAATTTTGAGATGATATAAGCTCGTATAGAGACAGCACAACAGAATACATTGCATAAACTTGTTTTTCAATCTTTAGAGAGTCAATTAACCGCCTGTCCTTCAATACTCTACAATATTGCTGGTTCACCTTCATCATCATCGACTGCGTGTCTATCAGTTGGGCTGGACTCATATATATTATTATCTTTCATTTCTGAAACATAAATAAAAACAAACAAATAATCACTTTCACCATTACAAAACATTAACGTTAGGTTTGTCTAAAATAGTTTTAGAACAGTTTTTCTTAACGCAAAATGGTTAAACATTTAAGAATATTTACTCGTGTCACTGTTAGAAGTGTGTGTAGAATCCAGTTATATAAAGGTTCAAAAAGTAATAAAGAAAAGATTATATCAAAGTTGATTTGAGGATGACGGGGATTTGTATGGATCTGTGAAGTAAGAGGTGGCTTCTGTCAGGGGAAGTTGAAATTGAAGTTGGTTTTATATCTTCGTAATTAATATTTGTACACAGTCAGCTATATATATCAGGCCAGGCTTTTTTTATTTTTAGGATTACGGATTTTTCAGCCCAAAGTCCAGGGTTGGAAAAGGTAAAAAAAAAGCCAGATGCATTTCTTTTGATGCAGAATGCCTCTGGCATACATTATGATCATATTCTATGCTCAAAAGACCGCCATTTGTGACGATAAAGCCCCTTGTAACAATAAGAATTCTACCACTTATAACATGGACAATTGTCAAGGGCGGCTATTCATGTTCGGCTTCGAGATCAACAAAGACCGATTATGTATCTCTTTACTAGTTAACAGCAGTAAATTCATATGTTTTTTATTAAAAGGTGATGATAACAAAACAAAAACTCACTAAGGGGCTATCGGCGGGGAAAAAATGGAAATCTGATCTATTTTTACATTTTCTAAAAAATTAGAGTCGGCTGGTCCGTAATCCGAAAAATATAAAACGCCTGGCCTCAGATATATAAAAAAACCTAGTGCAAATACTCGAAGAGGGACAGATGAACTGATGACTGATATCATGAGAAACGTGCCTTGCCGTGGAGGAACGACGATACAATTATATTCACTTTTTACAACAAACAATAGAAACTGGGTGTACGTCTAAATTGGGGCTTTAATTTGGGGATGATTACATTTTGGTTCAACATGCATTTATGCAATGACTTTCTTACCCAATACATCTTCATCTTTATCACCAAACAAACTGAGGAAACAACAGAACCATACAATAGTCTTTCATAAATAAATAGTTAGAACACGTCCCATTTTAATTCTGGAAACCCAAAAGTCCAGAAACTCTACGGTCTTTGCCGACTCTCGGTCAAAGGTATTCACAAAATTAAACATGCTGTTTTCATGGGAACATACCAAGGAAGAAAAAAATGAAAAACAAAATTGTTCATAAACTCAATATTTACACTATGTCGAAGTGTGGCCCATGGGTAGGCCCATAATCATGGCCCATTTTAACTTAATTCAACGATTTTATAGCGATATTGAAATATTTCGCCCATGGGCGAGAAAAAGGTTTGGCTCATTTTTACTTGATCGAATGGTTTCCACGAAAACTTCCGGCATAGAGTTTTGTATTTTATTATATACATGTATTGTTAATTGTAGAAGATGCTTACATCACTGTATCTCAGAACGCAAAACTGATAACATTCAAACATGTAATTAGTACACAGTTAATTGTTATAGAAGAAGAAGAAAATATTTTATTAAGGTGTCGCATGATATACATACATAAGGACAAACAGTTAAAAACAATTATTGCATATAATCCGGCGGATACGGCCTATGGGACACCAAATATCTCATAAGTACAAATGTTAGGCATTGCCTAAAAGTCGGGCCGGGCCGGGCCAAGACGGGCCAAAGTGTTATTGGCTAATTACTTCATTATCGGCGATCATACCTACATATTATTGATGCAACATACACACATGACATAACTGAACAATCACCAACCAAAAACGTGCAACATAATTAGGTATTTCGGAGTAAATCGCTTGAAAACCAGAAAGTGGAGCTGTGTGTAAGCGTCGCTGATCTAGGTAACATGTAAAAGAGCAATCGTTAAACGAAATAAGATTTGAAACGTATCAAATACTTCTAGCTATCGCGATACAAATTTCTATCTGTCGGCATAGCGTTTATATTTATAGGATAGTACTATATCTATGTAAATACCACTTAATAATGTCACTGTTCATCGTGTATAAAGCAGACACGTTGGTTAAAGTAGACCTCTTCTCCCCATACTCTAAACAGTCTCACAAGTGTTCGGTCCGACTTGGCCCGGGCTGTCAATATCAACTTAAACCTCACAGATGTATCATGAAATGGGTTCACATATATCGATTAGTATTTTATCTACCTAAATATCTCTTTATAGTGTCTCAGATCGCTGTACTTAAAGAAAACAAGGTGCTCAAAGTGAAGCCCTTTTCCCTCTACATTCTCAACATAGTCTCTTATTCAGAAGTGTTTGGCTTGTGTTGGGTCCGACTTGGCCCGGGCTGTCAAAATCAACTTTAAACTTATAGATGTATCATCAAATGTGTTTATATCTATACCTTGTTTTCTTTAAATACGATGTACTGTGACGGGAACATAAACATTATAATGATAATGATGATGATAGTTGTTTATGATGAGGATGATCACCATATTTTAACCTCTATGGTGTGATTAACAAGGAGGCCTTTAATGATTGAATTTAATCGTGCACTACTGCACATATCTGTTTATCTGAAGATCCTCTTGTGAAGCATGTCAAGACTGAAAACAAGTCATTCAATGGATTTTCCTAAACGACCCATTGGTGTAGTACTGAATATCAATGTTAATGTTTATTTTCTTGATGGTGCTGGACGGTACAGAAATGAGTGTCAATCAAGCGGAGTGCCATATCAAATCGACCCAGAACCAGTCACTTGCCACTCGGAAACGTCAATGTGTGATTTTGTCTCAATGTTGATGTCCAGCTTGACACAAACACAGTATCTTTGGCATGGTTCGATCCTCTTGTTACCGTAATGTGTGGTTTTGTCTCCGAGACCATCAATGGTACGACCCAGAATATGCAGAGGGCGTCGTGGGAAATGATAATTACATATAAAATTCTTTGGAATACGCCCACATACAGAGTCAGACGTATCCAAGCGAACAAACCTGATATGGTCCTTTTTAGATAAATCCAATGAATGTAGAATGTAGAGGGAAAAGGGCTTCACTTTGAGCACCTTGTTTTCTTAAAATACAGCGAACTGAGACACTATAAAGTTGTATATAGGTAGGTATAATGCTAGTCCATAGATGCAAACACATTTGATGAAACATTTGTGTGTTTAAAATATGTTTTGACAGCCCGGGCCAAACCGGAACCAACTCTTCTTACAGAGACTTTCTTAAGAAAATACAGTAAAAGTGTTTGACTTTAACGGACCAGTTTTCTTTACATACGATGTACTAAGACACTATAAAGTGGTATATAGGTAGATATTATACTCGTTTATAGATGTGAATACATTTGAATATACATCTGTGAGGTTTAAGTTGATTTTGACATCCCGGGCCAAGTCGGATCCAACACTTCTGACAGAGATTTTCTTAAGAAAATATAGTAAAAGTGTTTGACTTTAACGGACCAGTTTTCTTTAAAAACGATGTACTGTGGCATTATAAAGTGGTATATAGGTAGATATAACACTAATCTATAGATGTAAACACATTTGAAAATACATGTTTTTTTTTAAAAGTTGATTTTGACCGCCCGGGCCAATTCGGACCCAACACAAGCCAAACACTTCTGATAGAGACTATGTTGAGAATGTAGAGGGAAAAGGGCTTCACTTTGAGCCCCTAGTTTTCTTTAAGTACAGCGATCTGAGACACTATAAAGTGACATATAGGTAGGTATAATGCTAGTCCATATAGATGTAAACACATTTGATGAAACATAGGTGTGTTTAAAATTGGATTTGACAGCCCGGGCCAAACCGGACCCATCACTTCTGACAGAGATTTTCTTAAGAAAATCCGGGGTAGAACAGATCTTCTACAACCCATTCTTGGCGTACCCTAAGCACACACACGAGTCCCATTCGACAGTCTATAACACACGAATAACTGTCAAACAAGTTTGGGTACCCCTTGTGTTCAGGCAAGTTGTTTAGTTCAATAATTTTGTATTAAAATCCTTTTCAATTTGTTTTCACCATTTTCCCTATTCCATACATGTTTATGTTGTTACATTTTATTGCTCATGTTCCCAAGTATTATAAAACACTTTAATGTTTCTCCTTCTTAATCTAACGTTATAACATTTCAGGTCATTACCATCATCTAATAAGAGATGATACCAAGACATATTTAATTCGGTTTTATGGTCTATGCGGTCTTACAATTGATTTTATTAGTCTTTAAATCTTATGTCTAGTACATATTTTCACAAACAGGGCTGTTTGCTGATATAAGGAAGGTAACATCCAGTTGAATTCCCAGTTGACGTACTCACTTTTTTAATCAAATATGAGGACTGTATACGACATACGTTAGTCTCCTAACGACGTTTCTACAATTAATATTTTGAATAAGCCGTTAATAAGCCAGTTGTGACAGAGATGATGGTATGGTAGCTGTAGCAGACAGATTGACAGTCGTTGTTACGTGCGTCACTGGGTAATTAGTACGGCATTGACCTTGTTGATTGTTACTATACTTTGAGGATTTCTGTGACCAGTGGCGGACGTAATTCAAACTCCTTCCACACTGACACCGCATTAAATATATTTGTGTACCGATTACATAACTCTTACGGACAGGGTGGGGTGGTAGTTCACCGGACCACACTGTGTATATTGGGCGGCTCCTTTGATATCTCCTCCAAACATACTTTTATTGAATGACCCATTAGACGATGATACACATTTCGTTGAATATATCAAGGCACTTATTCATCTTTCATAAACATTTTTGTCTTTGTGCTTCATATATCCACATATCAACGAAAATATGTAATACATGTATCCACAAAAAAATATACATATACAGGCTAGGTATTTGCCCACCGCAACACCTGCATAACTGTTTATTCACGCGTGGTGTGGTAGATCGTAATTGACCGAGAGCAGGTATTGTAGAATCACCTGTAAATAAGGCCAACCCTGTAATTAGATACAACGTACTAATGAGAATATGAGAATTATCACAAGAAGGCTGTTGCGTTTTTCTTAACTGTTACCATTTTCATACCAAACGTGACAATGCATTTAAAAGTTGCTTTAGTGTCACACTATTCACTCAAGTTTTCCTCAATCGCATTGAAACATAATTCCCACTGGTCAGTTCGACACCGCATGTAATTAAATAAATATTTCGAGATTTCGTTAGAATGTGAGATATTCAGCCAGACGTTATGCAATAAAAAAGGAATATTTTTTTCAATTAAAATACGCGCACGTGTACCTGTATACTGCATACCCAGTGTCACGTAATTGTGTGATGTATCAACGGGACATAAAATGGGAAATGAAAAAGAAACTAACTAAACTCTAATGTTGTGGAAAATAACTCCAATGAATTGGAGTACACGTGCATGAATTCGTATGATAAACTGTCAACACATTTTGAGAGGTAAGGCCGGGTTCATTAAAGATCGCTACAATATGTAAAACAAGTGAAATTTGTAAAACTTCTATAAAGGAAACATCCAACCAAAGAACTTTTTAAATAGTAATGTAATGATATAATATAAAGTATATTTCACATGATACCATATTTTTTGCACACAGTTAGTTGATGCTTTAAAGGGACTGACGAAAACATGGGCGAAATATTTTAATAACGCCAAAAATAAGTTGAATTAAGTTAAAATGAGTTGAATCATGTGTCATTCTTATAATCCCTTAATGTATTTGCGAAACTAAAACTGTTGAGCACAGGAAAATATTCTCGCCCATAGGCGAAATATTTCAAAATCGCTATAAAATCGTTGAATTAAGTTTAAATGAGTTACATTTGGTGTCATTATACTTGAAAGAAATATATTTATGTATTTGCGAAACAAAAACATGAGTTTTAAGTAAAGGAACATATTCTCGCCCATGGGGGAAATATTTCAATATCGCTATAAAATCGTTGAATTAAGTTAAAATGAGTTACATTTGGTGTCATGATACTTGAAAGAAATATATTTATGTATTTGCGAAACAAAAACATGAGTTTTAAGTAAAGGAACACATTCCCGCCCATGGGCCAAACCTTTTTCTCGCCCATGGGGGAAATATTTCAATATCGCTATAAAATCGTTGAATTAAGTTAAAATGAGTTACATTTGGTGTCATGATACTTGAAAGAAATATATTTATGTATTTGCGAAACAAAAACATGAGTTTTAAGTAAAGGAACATATTCTCGCCCATGGGCGAATATTTCAATATCGCTTTAAAATCGTTGAATTAAGTTAAAATGAGCTACATTTGGTGTCATGATACTTGAAAGAAATATATTTATGTATTTGCGAAACAAAAACATGAGTTTTAAGTAAAGGAACACATTCCCGCCCATGGGCCAAACCTTTTTCTCGCCCATGGGCGAAATATTTCAATATCGCTTTAAAATCGTTGAATTAAGTTAAAATGAGTTACATTTGGTGTCATGATACTTGAAAGAAATATATTTATGTATTTGCGAAACAAAAACATGAGTTTTGAGTAAAGGAACATATTCTCGCCCATGGGCGAAATATTTCAATATCGCTATAAAATCGTTGAATTAAGTTAAAATGAGTTACATTTGGTGTCATGATACTTGAAAGAAATATATTTATGTATTTGCGAAACAAAAACATGAGTTTTAAGTAAAGGAACATATTCTATCCCATGAGTCTGCCCTTGGGCCAAACCTTTTTCTCGCCCATGGGGGAAATATTTCAATATCGCTATAAAATCGTTGAATTAAGTTAGAATGAGTTACGTTTTGTGTCATGATACTTGAAAGATATACATATCTGTATTTGCGAAACAAAAACATGAGTTTTGAGTAAAGGAACATATTCTCGCCCATGGGCCAAACCTTTTTCTCGCCCATGGGCGAAATATTTCAATAGTCCTACGTAGGAGATAGTAAGTCCTACGTAGGAGGTAGTAATTCTAGGTCATTGTAAGTCCTACGTAGGAGATAGTTAGTCCTACGTAGGAGGTAGTAAGTCCTACGTAGGAGATAGTAAGTCCTACGTAGGAGATAGTAAGTCCTACATAGGAGGTAGTAATTCTAGGCCATACAAAGTCCTACGTCGGAGATAGTAAGCACTACGTAGGAGATAGTAATTCTAAGTCATACTCAGTCCTACGTAGGAGGTAGTAAGTCCTACGTAGGAGATAGTAAGTCTTACGTAGGAGATACTAAGTCCTACGTAGAAGATACTAAGTCCTACGTAGAAGATACTAAGTCCTACGTAGGAGATACTAAGTCCAACGTAGAAGATACTAAGTCCTACGTAGAAGATACTAAGTCCAACGTAGAAGATACTAAGTCCAACGTAGAAGATACTAAGTCCAACGTAGAAGATACTAAGTCCTACGTAGAAGATACTAAGTCCTACGTAGAAGATACTAAGTCCTACGTAGAAGATACTAAGTCCTACGTAGGGGATACTAAGTCCTACGTAGAAGATACTAAGTCCTACGTAGAAGATACTAAGTCCTACGTAGAAGATACTAAGTCCTACGTAGAAGATACTAAGTCCTACGTAGAAGATACTAAGTCCAACGTAGAAGATACTAAGTCCTACGTAGAAGATACTAAGTCCAACGTAGAAGATACTAAGTCCTACGTAGAAGATACTAAGTCCTACGTAGAAGATACTAAGTCCTACGTAGGGGATACTAAGTCCAACGTAGAAGATACTAAGTCCTACGTAGAAGATACTAAGTCCTACGTAGAAGATACTAAGTCCTACGTAGAAGATACTAAGTCCAACGTAGAAGATACTAAGTCCTACGTAGAAGATACTAAGTCCTACGTAGAAGATACTAAGTCCTACGTAGAAGATACTAAGTCCAACGTAGAAGATACTAAGTCCTACGTAGAAGATACTAAGTCCTACGTAGAAGATACTAAGTCCTACGTAGAAGATACTAAGTCCTACGTAGGGGATACTAAGTCCAACGTAGAAGATACTAAGACAACAAAATAATTTCATCGTTGCACCACTACGCTTCCGTAGAATAGTGAGTGCGTTATTGGTTACGCCTCTTTCGGCAATGTTCCAGAACCGTCACGGCGGGGGGCAGCAGAAATAAGCTTCACACATTGTACCCAGGTGGGGAATCGAACCCGGGTCTTCAGCGTGACGAGCGAACGCTTTAACCGCCCCGTACATGTTTCCAGAATGGTTTTTACTTTGTGTTTTTGTTGTTGATGTTTTTATAACAAATATTCATGAATACGTATGAATAACATGATCCATTAAATAAGTTACACCATGCAGGTAAGCTGCAATCTTTAACGTTCTGTCATTTGTCATTGTTCGGTATTTACTGACCTGCGTTGTCTCGATGTCTTTGTTTCTGAATTAAAATGGATGCAAAAAAGAAATTTAAAATCATATTTGAAACAAAAAAACATATCAACGAATGTATAACGTGAAAGCCTTCACACACGCTTACTCAGCCATGTATATTAAGTGAGTGAGTGAGTGAGTTAAAGTTTAACGTCACATCGGCAATATTTCAGCCATATCGTGACGAATGTTTATTAAGGGACACTGATATTTACATGTGCTGATCCATACAATATCAGTGTTGTGATGTTATGTGGCTGAATGAAACTGACTTACGTATATTTACTGTGTGTTTAAACGGGATAAACTGCCTGGCAAAAAAGTAACATCCATGTTTGATGATTGCTAAAAATAACACAAACAGGAAAAGGTTGTTCGATGGTGATGGTATCATAGTTTTTGTTTTGGAACTGAGGTTTGCAACGTTTCGGTAGGTAAGTAACGTTTTGATAAAGTTTTGAAATGCTTGGTCAAATCTTATTTTCATGTGTATGTCACAGAGTGACTTTACATCACTCTGGACAACGCAATGTTAAAGAATTGTAAGTTCTGAACAACTTTCCTTTTGTACAGTGTTGAGAACATAACGCTCAGGAAATCTTGACTATTTAACATGAGGTAATCCATGCGTAACAGCGGTCAGTTGAACCATTGTCTAACACGGCATTTCACATTATGACATTTATAGCCTAATCCATTTTCCCCTGGGCTGTGTCTGTAATCACATCCATAAGCCCCATGTCCAGGGCAACTCCATTGTCTCTTTGTCTGTCTAAAATTATCAGCACATTGACATCAACGAGACATTCCTAGCTGTGACATAAAATTCGGTGTGACTAAATAAGATTGTAACACCTTCATACAATTTTAAATCAGAAACTCACCTTTAAGTTCACCTTCAGTCTTTCGATTTCTGATGACGGCGACAGCGATAATGACAGCAAGGACGACTACACCGACGGTGGTTCCAAGGATGGTGTATAACTGTGTGTTATCATCTGATGACTGACGCCCTAGAATGCAGCACGATCGATGGCTCACGAATTAACTTCTAGTCTCAGAATTGAATTGTGCAAAGGTTTTGATAGATAATATGATAATATTATTGCAAGGTCTTTGGAACTGACCACCTGTAATCTATGGCCGTAACAACGGATTTTACCATTT